GGCTGCAGTGAGCTGTGATCATACTACTGCACTCCAGCCTTGGAACAGAATGGGACCCTGTTTCAAAGAAAAATTAAAAATTAAAAGAAAACTCTCCCATTATAGAAGACTTCAGCATTAAGAATTACATATGGTATCCAGGAGAAATACTCAAAGTCTCAAATAAAATTTTAAAAAGCACAAATGTTCATTGGGATCTTAAAATGTGCCAGGCATTGTGCTAAGCATGGTGTTTGAATTAATTAAATCCTCACAAAAACCAATAAAATTGGTTTCAATACTATCCTCATTTGACAAATGAAGAAACTGAGGTATAGAAAAGTTAAATAACTTGCTCAAAGTCAAACAGTAGATGGGACTTGGCAGAATTTGAACCTAGGCAGCCTGGTCCCAGTTCCCAGCCTTTCGAACCACCTTCAAGTAAAAAGGACAGCAAACTCAAGCAAACGAACAACGAAAGTGGTAGTATAATAATATTAATTATAAAAAGGAGAAAAGATGGTGTCAATGATGACACATACAGTTTACAATAAAGAAAAATAAATCTTAGTCTAGGAGTGCCCACCTTGCAGTCCCTGCCCCATAGTAGATGTTCGGAAAGTGTCTGTTGAATGAATGAATGAGCTAATACAGAAGCCAACAAAGATCAGGCAAGAATGGGAAAACACACACACACACACACACACACACACACACACACACACAAAATATCCAAAAAATAAAAGCTGACAGGGGAACAGTAGCAAAAAATAAGTACAGTCAGTTCTGCTATAAACACTTGTTTTGAAAATGGGAATGAGTTCCCAGGTGATTGATTACATAAGGAAATAAATTTTGCCTTGCTTATGCACAATTCAGTCTCCAAGAAACACTGATGAAGGTACAAAACTTCCCTCAGCTGAACAAAGCTGTATAAGGAATGCACAAGGCACACAGACACACTTCAAACATCTACCAGCTCCCTCAGTTCATCAAGGGTTATGAGCCACAGTCATCACATGTGCTATTCAACTTTCCAACAGATTTCAGCTAACCTACTTGCCATTACTTTTCAGTAATAACTCGAATCGATATTCCTTCCAATACACCCTTCCACAAGCAAACTTTAGGCCTTTTTCAAGGTAAACTGGCATATTTATTTATGCATTTTTAAACTAATTTAACACAGGCAAAATTGGATTTGCATCTTTATTAGGTTTCCATCTCTTGTGTGTGTCTACGTCACTAATGAAGTTTTAGAGTGCTATGCTCTAACTGTACTTTTTCATGAGCCCTGGGTTTAATATTGCACAATTTTGCATAACACGATTTTTAAGAATGTGTATATAATATGACAGCAAAACTGAGTGTACAAAGATAAAAATAGCAATTGTAAAATACTGAATTAGCAGATACCAAACTCTATATTCTACAAACACCACCTTTTCAAATACCAGTAGAGGCTTCATCAACATTGATTACACATTAAGTCATAAAAAAAAATTCAAAAAACTCTAAAGAATAAAAAGTATACAGGCCAGGAACAGTGGCTTATACCTGTAATCCCAGCACTTTGGGAGGCCAAGGCAGGTGAATCATTTGAAGTCAGGAGTTCAAGACCAGCCTGGCCAAAATGGTGAAACCCTGTTTCTACTAAAAATACAAAAATTAGCCAGGCGTGGTGGCGGGTGCCTGTAATCCCAGCTACTTGGGAGGCTGAAGAAGGAGAATCACTTGAACCTGGATGGCAGAGGTTGCAGTGAGCTGAGATCATGCCACTGTACTTCAGCCTGGGTGACAGAGTGAGACTCAGTCTCAAAAAAAAAAAAAAAAAAAAGTATACAGTCCATACTCTATGGCCATAAGACATTAAAGCTAGTTTATAATAAAGTATAACTGGGAAAAAAAAGAACTTGCAAACTGAAAATTATTTTTCTAACATACTTAAATCAAAAAGAAAACAGTAGTACAGTTATTAAATATTTACAAAAAAATACAATAAGAAATTAGCATATAAAAACATATAAAAAGCTACTCAGAATATTGCTAAAAGGTAAACACACAAATGAACTTATTAAGTAGACTGGTTCATTTAGCATTAGTGAAATTGAGTAGAAGGAATTACGAAAGATGAAAGCAGATAAGTCAAGAGTAAAAATTGGTAAAATATAAATAGGTTCTAGGAGGGTAAGGTGGGCAAAAACCAATAAAATTAAGTAAATCAAAATGAAGAAAAAAACCAGATTCCCAAAAGAAGCAACAAAAAAGCAAAAATAACTACAGATGGGATAAATTCTTAAAATCAGAAACAATCTGAGAATATCTATAAAATTATTTTCTTAGAAAATATGAAATATTATTCACGCTCAAGAAGTAATATAAGACCTAAAGACCTAAAAAAAAAAATTTTTTTTTAGAGTTGAGGTCTTGCCCACTCACCCAAGCTGGAGTGCAGGGGAATGATCACAGCTCATGGTAGCCTCCAATTCTTGGGCTCAAGGGATCCTCCTACCTCAGCCTCCCAAGTCACTGAGATTATAGCCATTAGCCACTGCACTTGGCAAAAAACTTAAAAGTTAATCAAAAAATTACCTTTATAAAACAAACACCAATGCCTATGTGGTTTTATAAGACAGTTATTAATGTTTAAAAGGTTGCAAACTACTGTATCTAAACTACAGATTCAGAAATGTTGATGTGATCTGTTTGGCACTGTGTGTGTCTGTGTGTGTGTGTGTGTGTGTGTATATATATGTGTGTGTGTGTATGCATGCACATGTGTGCATGTCCTGGTACATTAATCTAAATTAATAGCTAACATTTCAATGTAAAAATTCTAGGTATTTTACATAATATTTTAGAATTCTAGCTTGTCTTGAGTAACTGGAGGGATATCCTGACAACTCTGGTTCCAGTGGCAGCACATGGCTAGAGTGGATGTGGCTAGCCCCTTTGGATGAGGTAGTTAATTAATCCCAGTACTCATAGAAAATATACCCTTCACTTAAAGTACCTTCCTAGCCAAACCTGTAAGCATTTTAAGCCTCCTATCAGGAGGAAAAAAAAAAAAAAAATCCAATGGAAATTATAAAAATTCAATTCTCCCCAAATTATCTTTAAATGTTTACATCAATTTTCATCAAAATCCAAAGAGATTACTTTTTTGATGGAGTATGAAGAATTTAACAAATTAATTCTAAAGCACTTTGGGAAAATTAAATGTTCACTCATTGAAAGAACTTCTTAATATAGTTAAGAATAATGTATCATATATTTCAAAATAACTAAAAGAGAATTCCAATGTTCCTAACACAAGAAAATGATAAATGTTTGAGGTGACAGACATCCCAATGACCCTGATTTGATTATATGTTATATGCTTATATTAAAATACCAGATGTACCCCATAAATGTGTACAACGATTACGTATCCATAATAACTAAAAATAAAAACTAAAAACATAAAAACTAAAAACAAAAAGACGAGAGGGAACTTCAACTGTCAATTAATGAAATATATCATAAAGGCACAACAATTGCAGTCAAACAGGGAAGTCCATGAAACAGATCAAAATGCCCAGGAACTAAAGCATATTTAAATATAATAAAGATTGCACTTCAAATCACTAGAAAAGGATGGACTAATTCAACCTTGGGGAGGCAGGATGGCGCAGTGTGCAAAGGAGACAGTCTCTGGAGCTGGACAGTTTGGACCACATGGAATACCATGCTGCCCTGTGACCGTGGACAAGTCAGTGTCCTGATGTGTAAAACAAGGATAACAATTGTACCTGTTTCACAGAATTGCTTAGAAGATTATTATCTACAATTTGTAAAGTGCTTAGAACAGGTACTAATACAGTAAGCGCTGTATAAGTGGCAGTAAATAAATTAAAGAAAACAATTCATTATAAGATAATTCGTAACTCCAGGGGATACATGGAGATCAGAAAACCTCCCATCGTAACATATTTTTTTAAAAATCAGTTTTTTAAAAAGTGAATGGTAAAAAATGAAATTAGGAAGAAAAAAAGCACTATTTATTTGACCTCTAGATTGGAGAAAACTTTTTAAAACATGACAGCAAAAGCAGTATCTGAAGAAAACAGAATAACAGATTTGAGAAGATAAATGTGTTAAAATTTTGTATATCAAACGCTTAAATATGAAAATAAAAATTTGAGAAAAAATATGAGTTAAGGAATATAAATATTCCTAAAAATCAGTAAGAAAAAGTATAATAGGCAAGTCACAAAAACCTTCACCTGTATGAGAATATATGCAACATTGTTACCAAAGAAATATAAAAATTAAAATGAAATTTTTCAACCATCAAATTGGCCAACAGTTTCAAAAATTATATTGCTGACCAAAAAGCAAATAAATTGATATTTTCTATATGGAACACTGAAAAATACACTGAAACAAACTTATACAGGAGTCACTTTAATTATATGCTTTAAAAAAACTTTTAAACTATTAAGTCACTTTGACCTAGTAATTCCATTTGTGGGACAAAGTTGGAACATAAGATTTTTTTCCCCCAAGGCAGAGTCTCGCACTGTCACCCAGGCTGGAGTGCAGTGGCACTATCTTGGCTCACTACAACCCTCTGCCTCCTAGGTCCAAGCAATTCTCATGCCTGAGCCTCCTGAGTAGCTGGAATTACAGGCGTGAGCCACCATACCTGGCTAATTTGTTTGTATTTTTAGCAGAGACGGGGTTTCACCACATTGGCCAGGGTGGTCTTGAACTCTTGCCCTCAGGTGATCCGCCCATCTCGGCCTCCCAAAGTGCTGGGATTACAGCAGTGAGCACCCAGTGGAACATAGGATTTAAGTGCAAAAGATTCAAATGGCTTTTTCAGAGATGAACCAAAACCAATGAACATGGTATGTGAAGAAATATTTTAAGTTTCAGATATAAAGCTAAGAATTTTCACCATCTAAAAATTCAATACTTAATTCACTGTACAATTAATTTTTAATACTACCAAATTCCAAAAAAGTTTTAAAACAAACCTTTTAACAGCATCCTTCTTCTGAATATCTATAATATCCCACCACTTTGAAAGGTAAGAGATCTCAGACCAAATAAACTTCCTCCGTGAGTCTTCTTTCAGCTTTAGGACCATGTTATTAAAAATATACTGAGTCTTGTCTCTAAAGTAGTCATTGAAAGTCTTCAACCAACCTAAATCAAGACACAAATATACCACAAAGGTCTGATTCGTATGGCTGATTTCAACTCAGTCACATTCCACTGCATTACTTTGGACATCCTTAGAAGTTTCATTCATAGACATATTTTTAAATTTAACAGGTGTTTTCAATTAATGAAACTCCATTTTAGTTGTCATGAGACTCAGAAACCCACTAATATTAAAACAATGAAAACACTCTGAAAACTGCACAAATTCAGATATAAATGAGAAAAATAAGATAGATGACTGAAGGACAAAAAGCAGTTATTTATATCTAACAATTATAGCATCTAATTCAATTTTTTCTCTCTAGTTTAAGTAATTTTTTTTGAATTTTAAAAATCTAAACAGTGTTAACAAGTTGGCAGTACTGTTCTCAAAATATACGATCCAAATTTTATCCTCTCATGCCACGTCTAAAATTCTTCACCCATTAAATAAGTTAAACTAAGAAAAAAGAGATCGCAAGTATACACTATACCTAAAAGCTTGCAGCAGACCAATAAGGTAATTACAGCATAAATATGAATACTGAGAAGTAGAATTCTGCAAAAATACAGGTATTTGTTCCCAAAAGCTGTTCATTATTCAATTCCTTAGAAGCACAAAGTAACACTAATCAAACAACAAATGCAAACGCATAATAGGTAAAATTTTTCAAAAAGAGAATTATAGATGTTGACAGCTTGGTTCTCTGTTTTTTCCTATATTTTCCAAATATCCTGGAAATTTTATCTAAAATTAATTGCAATTTGGCTATAAGAAACATAAAATTTTTTAACACCAACAGGTCCAATCATAGCACCACAAGGCAGACTACTAAGATGGCCAAGCAAAAGCATACACAGCCACCTAATTGCACCTACTGGTGGCAGGCAAAGTAGACTCCCTAAAAAATAACCTGTTCCTATCTAAAAAACCTTATAGGGAGAAGTTTCTATATATCCCGGCTGAACTATTGGTCTATTGTTTCCAAACTTACATGTGAGAGAATTAAAAATAAGGGGGTCCAAATGGCTGTTTCTTATTGTATATAGTTCAATTAATATGCATACTGTATTTGCTGGCAAAAAAATAAATAAAAAACAAAAGCCTGCCAGGGGAGAGAAGACAAAACTATTCTGACAATGTGAATATGAGCTTTTGAAAAGAGCACTGCAGCTATGACTTATTTGTTCCTCTTGCTTTAATTGAAATCTACTCATTCATCCTACAATTACTTACTGAGCACCTACAATGTGGCAAGTATGAAGCTATGGGACCAAACAGAAATACACTGTCAAATAGTCTTTATAGGACTTTCTTGATCTGGGGCACTTTTAACCTGGTTTGACACCGAAGAACACTTCCTGGATACTTCAGTTTTTTCCACATTTAACTAAAAAAGCCTGTGTCTATTTTTAAAACCTCAAAGATATTTCATTAAATAGTGGTCTGCAAAGAATCCCACCTAGCTTCACCAAAGTACTAACCTGGAGCACTGCCCCCAGAGCACTGAGCCAGGATCCACCTCTGGATTCCCAGGGAATAGCCCAGAAAACTCAACCAACCATTAAACAGGACGCCCTAACTCCCGGATGTCCATACTAACACCACCAAGTTAAAAAACATCTAGTGCTCAGAACTGATATCATCATCAGTCTTTAATTGCCCTTTCCCATATCTGTACAATTAAACTAGGTAGAGGGGAAATAAAAAATATTCTGAACACCTAATTTGTAAAGCAGACAAAACACTTACATAAACTGCTCCACATTTTAAACATATATTGGTTACCCAAAATTTCAGTTTGCACTGAATTCACCCTATGCCCTTGTTATGGACAGATCTGTGTCATATGCCGAAGTCTCACTACCTCAGAAGGTGACTGCATTTGGAGACAGGTCTTTAAAGAGGTAATTAAGGTAAAATGTGGTCATGAAGATAGGCCCTAATCCTATATAACTATTGATGTATTTATAAGAAAAGGAGATTAGAACACAGATACACAAGGAAGACCATGCAAAAACACAAGGAGAAAACAGCCATCAACAAGCCAAGGAGAAACGACCTCAAAAGAAACCAACTCTGCCAACACCTTGATCTTGGACACTAGACTCCAGAACTGTGAAAAAACAAATTTCTGTTGTTTAAGCCACTTAGTCTGGTACTTTGCTATGGCAGCCCTAGCAAACTTCTTCAGTCCTAGAACAAATCAGCATCATTACCATCCAAGAAATAAAGATTGCAATGTGGGAAGAATTTATTTTATCAAATACCAACATAATATTTAACTGAACATACTCTATCTACCTACTTATTGCAAAACTGAGCTAAATTCAAATGTACGTAACTAAATCTATTTCTGTACCATGCTTTTATTATACACGTGCAACAAGGACCATGTAAATGAAATGGTTCTGTTAGAATTATCGTCTTTAAGATATCACATAATACCTTTTACCTAAATTTTAAGGTTCAAACTAATTCCTAATTATCTGGCTACTAGCTAAAGAACTATAAATAGTGAAATGCCTCCAAATTAATTTGATACTAAAACTCCAGTAATCTAGCATAAAAGGCAAATTTTTAAGGGTTAGTCTTTATGAAGATTGATATGTAAAAGTTTTTTTGTGTGTTTTTTATTAATCACAATTTATTTTCAACAGTTATAATCTGTGATGAATGAACTAAGGCCATTTCAAAAAAGAGTTTATCATGGGAGTTTTCATAGAGGAATCACAGTGACTGATTAGTCCATTTTGCCTTCAACACTTCATTCACCCCTCAACAATCATAAGGAAAATATGGTAAAGACATTCACGTGAGCCAAAATACAAGCTCAGAGATGTCAACCTGAAAGCCTTCCATAAAACTCATACTAATATCACCACCATACAGCATAATTAATGAAGAATGAACTGAAAGATAGCCTCTTGCAGCTTTCAGTACTGAGTAATATAACAGTAAATTAGCTTTTATTGTTTTTATACAATAGAGTAATCAAGTATTCCCTTTTACACTGAATTGGTTCTTTCGTTTTCAAAATTACTGTAAAAACTACAATTGTATATTATCATGAGACCAACCAGAAATATAGCATTTTACAAAAAGTGGTAGGGGATGAATTTTCATGACATAAAATTATATTCCTACCTCTAGATTTAATAATCTTAGGACACTGAGTTGCAAACTGATTTACTTAAGCGGTCAATTCACAGCTTTTTTTCTTTCTGTTGAATATACTTGAAAATTGAACCAGGACTAGAACAGCATTAAGAATACCTTTCAATTTATTATTTTCCATTCTAACACTATTACTACCCATAAAAAAGCTAATAGCTATTTTAAATAAGTGGGGAAATATTTAAAACAAAGAGTGCATAATTGCAAGTTCCACAAAGCAAGCATAAACCCAAATTCGATACCACTATTTAATTATTTTTTTTAAGTTCTAAAATAAAAAACAGCTAATAAAGCTGGAAACTCTATTGCCTATATTCAATGTCTATGAACAATTAAGTACCTAGTAACTGTTCACAGACAAATCACAATTTATTTTTTAAATTTTGAGCTCCCAGCCATAGGTTGGAAATCTAGAGACTATGTGGAGTTCTGATGCTCTTCAGGAACATTTAGTTTTATTAGGTCCAAGGGCACATAGTAAGTACCACCATGAGGACCTGGGCAAGAGGTACCTGGCCCTGAGCCCTGGACTTTAAAAGGACCTCCCTATTCTTCTGACTACACCCCTTTCAATTGGATAAATCCACAGGACAAACTGACCCAGAGCCTGCCCTGCCCTTCTGAGTACCAGGGTCCAGAAATCTGTCTAAACAGCCCCAAACTGGAAGCCTACTGGGACTCTTGTAAGTCTTTCCCCATCAGGGCACTTAACCCTAACAAATGGGAACCTCTCTAGCCTAAACAGTGGCCAAGAGGCTGTAGTTTGTAGGGATGTAGACCTGGCACCAGGATCTCTTCAGGCAAGGTCCTTCCTGGTTTGGCACACGGCCAGGACGGGGAGGAGAAGGCAGTTGGCCTGCCCCACAGGCTAGCTCTCCCCAGAGCTACAGCAATCTAAACCTACATTTGGTCTTCCAGATCACTGAGCTACTTCTCCAGGCAAGAGGAGAAGACCTATTTTTCTTTAGTAATTTATTACTTTGATTTATAACTTTTAAATGTTTAAACACAGGGTATGTGGGCCTCTGTGTACTTTGCCCCAGATCTTGCAAATTTCAGAAGCAGGCCTGAGCACACACTGCCACTCAAACTTAATCTAGTATGTTTAAAATGCAAACATATAAAAGCAAGAGTTCAATAAGTACTTGATATGATGAATGAAAGGTATAGCCAAAAGCTCTGGGAAAAAAGTACAAATGCAAATTTATTACTTCAACTAGAAATGAAACTAAAGATAAAATGATACAACACTATTAGCTTTAATATGTTCCCTCTCTGTTCTGATACCTAATAATCATTGTCCAATATTTTTAAGTTTCCAAAATATTTACATTTTAAGAGGATCTGTCAGCCCTAGGATGATTAAAACACCCATCCCTAAGAAGGCACCCCGCTCCACAAAGTACTGTTACACTGCTGTGGTTTTAATTGCTATAATGATTTTTTCTTTTATTTTTATTTTTATTAATAATGATTTTTAAAGTATATTAATTCCACTCAAAAGTTAAATAAGCACCAACCTTCAGGAAAACATGAGAAGTTTTTGAAAAAAAAAAATTACATCCAGATAAATAATACATTGGTAATAAACAATTAACACATGCAACTTAAGCCTTAAGATTTTTTTCCATTTCAATGTGATATTCTCAAATTTTAAAATAAAGTTCATTAAAAACAGAAATATCCTTTGTTCTAATAATTTATTCTCTTTTATTAAATTTTAGATTCAAGAAGTATATTTGCAGGTTTGTTCCATGGTATATTGCATGATGTTGAGGTTCGGGCTTCTATTGATCCCATCACCCAAACAGTGAACACAGTACCC